TAAGAGATGTTGTTTCTTTCACGATGTATACCATGTTATATACAATATCAAATAAAGAAATGATGCTTACCTATGAGAGGAAACCTCCAAAAAAAAAAAAAAAAATTCAAAATTAATTAATCAAAATTTAGTTGTATCTAATTAATTTTATTTAAAAAATTAATTATCAATTATTGTAATTAAAATAAAAACAAATTATCTATTCATATGACATTATTTAAAAACTCGTGTAGTTTATTCATCTGTGTAATGCTACAATTTAAAATATATACTGTATATATATGTTTAAATGGTTTAATAATAATAGGATAGTAGAATTTAGCTAAGAGATGGGCCATTTTCTTATATGCATAACTTGTTTAATAAATGATAAACTTGTTCCTATTTAAAAAAAGAAACAATAAATATTTATATTGATTAATTAATTTTGATAATTAAAATTGCTTTTGATTCCATAAATGTAATTATTTATATCCTGAATTATCCTTTAAATCAATTCTTAAATTATCAAGCTTCAATTGTAAAGTAGATCGACTTTATATCGTTTTGGCATGCGTATATAGCATTAAACAGAATTTGATTATTAATACAACTAAATATTCATCAGAATAACTTGCAATTAATAGAACGATGTACTGATTTGAGGATTATAATATAATATATAAATATCCTTCACAATCTTTTTCCTTTTAGACTTCATAAGTATATATGATCTTTATGGAAACACTTTTACATTATTATCTTTACTCAAGAACTTATCTTTATATTCTCTGCTGACTGTATTTGTAAATATGAAATATTTAATTGTGTGATACATGATGTAAAAAATTTTTCAATCTGCTTTCTTAAACAACCATATTCATGTTTTTCGCTACATTTATTGAATCGAACAAATCAAGCGTTTTCCCGCCAAAATCTTTTCGATTACCATACATCACATGACCCCATACCTATTTTCTACGCACGGGATTATTATTGGTGTTTTCCAAATACTGTAGTTTTTTTATTTATAATTAAAAAAATCATTTAAACAATAATTTCAAAGTTATTCCCGATAGTTTTGTAAGCTTCGGTTGGGACGTGCTGTTAGTTAGTACTTGCTCCTTGAGGCTAGCTGTAACTTTCAAAGTTTTACGATACACACATTACAAGTCGGTAGCATAACGTTCAGACAACTGACTGAATCTTGAAATAATCTATAATGGAGGTAAATACTTCGATAAATTGTAATTTGTGTGCATAATTACTTCTTTATAGTTGCTTGGTACGCGAAAATTAAAGTACGCTTGACGCGTTTTATATTCATATTGCAACTATCATTTAGGGCGTACTGGATTTTTCGCAAGATCTTGACGTAGACAAATTAGATATTGTAGTTAAGACCTTTTATCAAGGAGTCGGTCCTCAGGTTGGTATTATTCAATGTAATCCTTTAAAATTTTTCATTATTCAACACGTGGTCAATAATTTTTGCGAATTTTCGTAAATTTTGCATTTAATATTTCAGCAACAATTAGCACAACAAATACTCACTCAATTTCAAGAAAATCCAGATGCATGGTCAAGAGTGGATGCCATCCTAGACAGATCAAAATACTCGCACACAAAGGTTTTTGATTTTATTTTTATTTTTTTTGAATTCTTATTTTTTAAAAAAATAAATTATATTGCTATTAATGCTTTGGGGATGCATCGAATTAGTATATCGCCCTCCAGATACTCGAGAAACTTATACAGACCCGATGGAAAATTCTTCCTTCGGAGCAACAAATGGGTATCAACATTTAATCACTGAAAGAAATTGCATCCTGGAAATGAAATTTTAATGGTTATTATTATTATATACAGGAATTCGCAATTTTATAGTTCACATAATTGTCGAGACGTCCAAGAACGAACAGTCACTCAAGAAGGAAAAAACATACTTGAATAAACTTAATTTGATATTAGTGCAGGTAATTGATCGTTCATTTAACTGTGAAATTGGGCACATCAGATTAATATAACATTATCTCCTCAATGCAGATTCTAAAGCAAGAATGGCCGCATAACTGGCCTCAATTTATTCCTGAAATAGTGAACACTGGGAGATCAAATTTGAATATTTGTGAAAATAACATGGCAATTCTCAAATTATTAAGGTAAGATATGATGTTTTCAATATATGTCGCGTTCATTTACGATCAGTCTTAGATTCGAATATTCTCATTTTTTTTAATACATTAGCGAGGAAATATTTGATTATTCGGCAGAACAGATGACGCAACTTAAAACGAAAAACTTGAAAACGCAAATGTGTCATGAATTTTCAAAGATATTCGAATTATGCAATGAAGTCTTGGAAAAAGCGCACCAACCTAGTTTAATTAAAGCAACATTAGAAACACTTTTGAGGTTCTTAAATTGGATCCCTTTGGGATATATCTTTGAGACGAATGTTATCGAAAATTTGAGGAATAGGGTGCGTTTACACATTCATGTTTCATGTTAATTAACAATCCGTACCTACATTACTACAACATTATAGCTTGATAATGACATAGTTCCTAGAGTCACCAGAATATAGAAATGTAACGTTAAAATGCCTTACAGAGATTGGAGCGTTGAGTGTGAGTCATGAATATGATGATAAATTTATTGCCCTCTTCAACATGGTTGTAGCATCTCTCACATCGATGATTCCTCTTTCAGCAGGTGGGCTTTTCATACAACTTGATTTGTAAAAAAAATTCAAAATATAATTCCTCTAAATGTTTCTTATTTCACAATTTAGATATTGCCTCTATCTACGATAACAGCTCCAATGAAGAACAAGAATTTATTCAAAACCTGGCATTGTTCTTGACGAGTTTTTTGAGCGCTCACCTTAAGGTACACTCTCTGCTCAAGCCTCGGTCTTATTATGGGAAAGTTGAGAATGAATATCACAATAGCTCAATATACCGGACTGTTCTCATAGATTATGGAAGCCCAACAAGACACTAGTGGTCTTTTAACGGCTCACTATTACCTCCTTAGAATTTCCCAGGTCGAAGAGCGTGAAGTATTTAAAGTGTGTTTGGAATATTGGACCAAGCTGGTAAAGTTAAAGCGGATATCTATTATGTCGAATGATGTATTGCGAAGTCTATTAAATTCATCTGACGAATTTAGGTTGCAGAATTATACGAAGAGACACAACATATTCATGTTCTTGAAATCCCCACTCTTTCTTTAACTGGTCAAATATCGTCACCATCTGCTCTTGCTAATACTCCGTCGAGAAAGAATATGTACTCTGACATATTGTCGAATTTAAGGGTTATTATGATTGATCGAATGGTAAAACCAGAAGAGGTGCGTATAATAATTCAAAGTTAATATTATTTGGACAATCTTGATCCATATTGCGCTGTCTCCTTGAATAGGTTTTGGTCGTTGAAAATGAAGAAGGAGAAATCGTTCGTGAATTTATGAAAGATTGTGATACAATTACCCTATACAAGAGCATGCGCGAATGCCTCGTTTATCTAACTCATTTGGATGTGCAAGATACTGAGAGCATCATGTCCAATAAATTAAATAAGCAGGTAAATTATATATATTAATATTGGCTTAAGGAAATTTTCTTTGGACTTAATTATTTTTACACTTTGAAGATTGATGGATCGGAGTGGTCTTGGAATAATTTGAACAAACTCTGCTGGGCAATTGGCTCCATCTCTGGTGCTATGAGTACGATTATTAAGAACTATTATAAACAGTTTCTTTGTTCATTCCGTAATTTAATATTTTACAATTTATAGGTGAAGACACTGAAAAAAGATTCTTAGTGACTGTTATCAAAGAACTCTTGGGACTTTGCGAACAAAAACGCGGAAAAGACAATAAAGCTGTTGTTGCATCTAATATTATGTACACTGTTGGTCAATACCCACGTTTTCTAAAAGCACATTGGAAGTTTTTGAAAACAGTAGTCAATAAACTCTTTGAGTTTATGCACGAAACACACGAAGGCATTTTATCAACAAATTGCTCCGATTCTTTTCTTTACTGGCATTATTATTTTTTATGTTTGATCAACCCTAATTTGCCATTCACGTTCTAACAGGTGTTCAAGATATGGCGTGTGATACTTTTATTAAGATCTCTCAGAAATGTCGTCGTCAGTTTGTTACCCAGCAACAAGGAGAAAGCTGTCCTTTCGTCGAAGAAATACTTGCCACTATCGATAATATCACGAAAGATCTAACTCCACAGCAGGCAATTTTTTTTATGTACATTTTTTATTAATTCATCAAGTGTATTGTACTAACACATATTTTCACTTTTGCTTAGGTTCAAACCTTTTACGAGGCTGTTGGCTATATGATCTCGGCACAATCTAACAAAAGCATTCAAGAACGTCTAGTTATGCTATACATGGAACTTCCTAATGCAGCTGTATGATTAACAATTTTCAGTTTTTTTTTTCTCATTCACGATGATGTTGTAGTTAATGTCATGTATTGAATTCAGTGGGACAACATACTGGCACAAGTAAATCAGAGCCTAGATGCCCTTAATGTTACCGAAAATACAAAGCTTCTAGGTCATGTACTTAGGACAAATGTAGCCGCTTGTAATGCCGTTGGTAGCGGGTTTTCGGTTCAGATTGCTCGTATATATGTGACTTTATTGGAATTATACAAAGCGGTCAGCCAACTAATATCAGACGGCGTCTCCCGAGAAGGTATGTGAAACCAACGGAAATTTCACGATAAAAATTTAATATTTCTTTTATTTTTTTAAGGCTTGATTGCTACCAAGACGCCTCGTGTGCGTAATTTGAGAGTGATTAAGAAAGAAACTTTGAAATTAATGGAGACATATATAACCAAAGCAGACGAAACAAGCCAAATTATCACACATTTAATGCCACCTTTGTTGTCAGCTGTTCTCATCGATTACAATACAAATGTGGAACAGGCAAGAGACGCGGAGGTGCTAAGTTCGATGGCCTCTATAATCTCAAAATTGGGGGTAGGTTTTCATTAAGAATATTGTTTTTTTTTCACAAATATTTTACAAATTTCTGTTATATCTTAAGGCTGGAATCACGAAAGAAGTTCCTGCGATTCTTAACGCTGTTTTTGAGTGTACTTTAAATATGATTAACAAAGACTTCTCCGAATATCCTGAGCATCGCGTCGGATTCTTTAAATTGATCCGTGCCATTAACCAGCACTGTTTTCCTGGTAATTAGATTTGAAGTGAACTTTATCAATTTCATTTTTATTATATATACTTATTTATTAACCATAAATCTCTTCAGCTTTACTAACTTTACCACCGGGACAGTTTAAACTTATTATGGACAGTATTGTTTGGGCCTTTAAACATACGATGCGTGATATTGCTGAAACAGGACTTAATATTTGCCTAGAATTATTGAATAATATATCATTACAAGATGTAACAACTGCGAACCTGTTCTATCAGCAGTATTTTCTTAACCTTTTACAAGACGTATTTTTCGTATTGACTGACACTGACCACAAAAGTGGTATGCATTGTTATAGAATTATATCTAGTTAATTAACATTTACGTGGAATTCTTTTCACTAATCTTATTATTTTTTTTCAAAAATGAAGGATTTAAGATGCAATGTAGTGTGCTTCAACGAATGTTTTCTCTTGTGGAAACCGGTGCCGTACAGGCCCCGTTGTTTAATCCCTCTGATGTCCCCGACCCGAACATGACAAATCAACGATTTTTGAGGGAATATGTAATGAACTTATTGCAAAACGCATTCCCCCATCTGCAAACGTCTGTATAGTTTTTTACCTCATTTTTGCTTATCTTCGATACTCATCTGATTTTCTAACATCCTAGTGTTCAAGTTCAAGCTTTTGTCATGGGCCTATTTGAGTTGAATCAAGATTTTAACAGGTTTAAATTGCATTTGCGAGATTTCCTTATTCAGCTGAAAGAATTTTCCGGTGACAATGCTGATCTATATCTCGAAGAAAGAGAAGCTGAGGCTGAGCTTCGAAAGAAAACTGAAATGGAAAATGCGCTAAAGATTCCGGGTCTCGTGAAGCCTTCTGACTTACCGATGGATGAAGAAGAGTAAAAAATTAGAATTTATGTGATTTAACGATTGAATGTCTAGATTTTAGTAGTTAAATATTGTAGATGTTATTAAATGAACCTTCTTTTTGTGAAGTATTTGCTTAGTGGACTGGACTTGTGTAATTAATTACAATAATTCAATAGGATTATGATAATTTGGTCGTTTAGACTTGCTTAATAATGAATTTTTTTATTACGTATATTAACTTTCATTTTCAATAAGTCAAGGGCATTATACGAGACCATAAATTTATATTGATATTAAATAAAGTTTTGTAATTTATTATTTTCAAATTTAGTAATGACATTTTATTTATAAATACTTTTAAAAGTTTATAAATAATATATTGTATTGTTACAATAAATATACTTAATTTTTTATAATTTTTTTTTAAATATAAGTAAATGTCATTTCTCTATTTGTTTGTATATTGCAAGATATAAATTTTAAGAAAGAAATAATCTTTTTATTGTATTTAATAAGTTAAATGCCAATTTTTCTATAAATAATCATTTGAGTTATATTGAAAATGTAATTTTAAAAACAATAGTTACAAATATAATAACATATTTAAAAAAACAAAAAATTCTAACTATTTAAAATATTTAAAAATTAAAGTAAAATAATAAAAAATAATAATAAAATAAGTTAAAATATTATTTTTATTATTTAAAACTTAAGTATATTGCAAAAGTAAAAAATATTTTTGTTGACTTTTTTATCAATTCAAAAATAACCATTTTTTAAAAACTTTTAAATCTTTTTTAAAACAATTGTTATTTTTATTTTATTTTTTTTAAAAAAAACTTTATTTTAATAAGAAAAATTACAATACTTTTAATTATTTTATCAAAATTCAAAATTCAAAATGGTCAGAATCCTCTTTACTAACTCCCAACCTTTAGTAGATAAACTACTACAGAGCATAGAGAACCAAAGCACAATTTCATTACAAATCAAAAAATATATACACAATTTAAAATCAACAGTGCGAAAGACATGTCTCATGGAGGAAAGAAAAAGAGTCAATCAAGAAATTTTAAAGACAATCGAAACCAGATATTAGAACCTTAAGAACAACCAAAGAAGAATTATACAAACACTAACAAACAACTTTAAAGAAAGAATAACAATTGACAGAATCAAGGCAGTAGATGAAGAAGGATAAGAATACTTCACAATTGACAAAAAAGAGATTCTGAGCCAAACAGAGTGATACTATCAAAAAGCATTCCAGAAGCACAATAACAACTATGATATGCTGGACAAGCAATAGAAAAAGCAATACCAATCCAAAGATGAAATACAAGACAGTTGGTATAAGAAGCTAAAAGAAGAAATCCAACCAGAAGAGTTGGAAAAAGTCCTTCAAGACCTATCAAAGACAAAGCAGCAAGTCCCTCTATAATCAAATATGAAATGCTTAAGAGACTAGGACCCTAGGCTAAAAAGGTTCTATGTAGCTTTTTTAATTTGTTTTTAAAACAGGGACACACATCAGCATTTTGGAAGAATAGTCTCCTATATCTGATCTCCAAAGAAAAAAAATGGCAAGAAGAACTTAACAATATCAAACCTATAATTCTACTTGAAACAATACAAAAGTATTTTACCAAGATTCTTAATAACCAGTTAGCACTAATATACAAAAAATACAACATACTTAAAGGTCTCAACTTTGCAGGCCTCCCAGAAGAAAGTACTTCTGATCCAATCCAATTGCTTAACAATATTTGTAAAAAAGCTTGTGAAGAGAAAAAAGAATTATGGATTCTATTACAAGACATTGCCAAGGCATATGATACTGTTAGTCTTGAAATGTTTAAACAAGTACTTCAAAGAATCAAAGTATTAGAGAAAATCACCAGACGCATCCTGAATCCCTTCAAGCAAAAGAAGATTAAGATCATCACAGATATAGAACTTACCAAGGAAGTAATGGCAGGAGATGATATAGACCAAGGAGAAACAATTTCTCCATTATTCTGAAGAATCTTCTATGATCCGTTACTGTGTGAAATTCAAGAGAACGAAACATTGGACTATTTAATGAATTGTTTCTGAACATCAAATCTCAACAAGTCATCTATCAAGCCAAGCTCAATAGAAAACTTATCTCTCAGGCAAGCAGCAATCACTTATATGGACAATATAATATAGATAGCTAGATCTCAAAAAGACATGAAACTAATTCTCAAAAGAGTTAAATGGTTTTATGCAACAAATGACTTCCAAATTAATGACAACAAATTGGTTCTTATTACAATAAATAGTAATAACAAAGATCCAAATATAATTCACTTAGGAATTAAACAAGAAGAAGTCAAAAAACTGAATTGCGGAAGCTATGCAAGATTTCTTGACATATGGTTAGGTAACAAAAATCAAACGAAAGATACCATTAATAGAATACAAGAAATTCAAGGAATCCTATCAAATTTAGGAAAAAAGTTAATAACAGACAAGTACGTGGAGTATATTATTAACAGAGTCCTGATACCAATAATAGAATACAGAACACAACATGGTTCAATCAACTTCTATATAGCCAATTGTCTCTTAGCACAATTAAGAAAAGTACTTAAAAGAGTAGTCCACATAACGAAAAAAATTTCCAACTCCGTGATATATCACAAACTCTTTTATAAAATCAAAAGTATAGAGAAGATACAGCTAAAGAACCAAATCACCAACTTCATGTACAGATTGAATAACCATAACTACTTATGTAAATTAATCCTAATCAGACTTAAACAAGCACAAATACAATATTGGAAGTCAACAAATCTTTTCACTAAAAATACTGCCAACAACAATTATAAAAAAAATCTCTCAGCACAAATACTTAAGACAGCAAACAAAATGAGAATTACATTTTCAGACTCTCAATGGATAAATATATTTCAATGGAAAAGAGGACATATAATAATCAAAACCCTCCTAAATAGTCTCTCCTCTTATAGCAAAGCAACAAAGTCCTTAAGAAAATACAATATCATGTTTGTAGATCAGCTAATAGACAAGGAATACAACATGCTCCTAAATTGGAAAATCCTATAATTTCCAAAAAATCAAGGACAAGGACCTATACCAACATGATATCAATTAATAAAAAAAATATTAGTAAATAATTATAGTATCCTTAAGCAAAAATGGTTGGGATATGATTGGATACCTCAAAATAAACTACTTTTCATACCTAATGAAAACATAGACCATAGGAAATGGAACTGGCAAGTAAGTTCAAATAATAATGAAAAGCAAAAACTAGTTTGATTCAGAAGTAGAAATATACAAACAACAAATAACCAAAAAATATTTATATAAGAAAAGACTTTTTTTTTTTGAAAAATAATAGAATTATTTGATTTTATTTATATTTAATAAAGTTTTTCTTTATTAATTATAAATAATATTTTGTTTATAACTTTTTTAATATAAAATATTATATAGTCAGAAACAAAAAAAAACATTTTTTTTAATTTTTTTTTTTTTTTTTTTTTTTTTTTTTTTTTTTTTTTAATTTTTTTTTTTTCTT